ATTCGTTGATCATTCAAGCTATTCATTGGTTTGTAGATGTATCGAATTGAAGAAGTACTTTGTCACAACAATTGATCATAATTGGTGTTGATTTTGTGCATTCGATATTACCCCCTCCAACTTAACCATCAGGAGTCTACATTTGGTAATCCTGGAACGAACATTTTATCCTAGAGTTATTCATCGTCTGTAAAGATACAACCGAGGCATTGCTAGTGAATATTGGCTAACCAACTGCCAACATTTGCTCAAAACTCAAGCAATTTTAAACAATCCACTTTTGGTAAGATGATCTGATTCATTTTCGCTTTTCCTAAAGCTTATGGTAGAAAGAAAGTTTCACTACAGACACAACAGTACTTCAACAAGCAACTTAGGTAGTCACCCTATAACTTTACCATGAGCTCACATCACTTTCATGGTCTGAGGTTGACTTCTACTAGTAAGGTTCGTTACAGATGATTGCAATAGCCAACAACGGTACTCAGGTAATCATCTGGTGGCCTGAGAAGTCAACGTTTTGTTTTGTACTCAAGAAAAAAACCGTAACGTTTCAAAAAGTCACTCTAGTTCAGCAGCGACTCGAGTCATAGCTAAATCGATAAAACTATTCATTTCTGTTCTTCTCAGTAAAATTCCACTTTTCCGATAAGCATACATGAGTATGAGCTATTTAATGACATTTGCTATACTTTAATTAAAAGTTTATTAACCATTCACGACTACAAGGAGAGCTGTTTGACTTACTACAATAATCCATCTCGAAATTCTATAGAAAAAAAAGTTGCATTCGAGTTCAAGCATAGCTCACTTTTTTATACAGCATGAGCGAATATCTCTGATAATCACAACGTACACGAGAGAGTAAGAACGCATTTCTCATTATTAGAACATAAGTTAAAGCGCTAAAACACATGTTTGTTGCTTAGAAATAACGTTTTAGCATTATAAAATGACAACGGATGTTGGAACGCATATTTCACTATAAGGGCATAACTAATATCGTTAGAACGTATTCCATATCGACAGAACATCAATTGGAACATTAGAACCTATGTTTGAGACTTTGAACATAAATGAGTTCGTTAAAACACATACTTATTTATTATTATAACATAAACCGGAACATTAGAATACATATTCGACTATTCGAACATAAATAAGTTCTTTAGAAGATATATTAATTCATTAAAACATAAGTTAGAACGTTTAATTGGATGATTCAACGTTAGAACATCTTGACGAACATTGAAACATAAATAAGTTGTTTTAAACAAAACACATTGTGCATCTAATAAAAATATTGTTTCCATTCATTTTCAATAACTAATCGGCTGACATATACATAATCGTTACTCGCTGTCGAAACAAAACTTTTTAACGTTATGTCTACATAAAATATCAAGTTTTTTCTGAATTATTAAAACTAATTTAATGATAATTATTATTCATCAAACAAATGTTTTGAATTGATTAGATTATACTTTCAAATAATTGAATAAAATTTTCCGAATTGCTATCCGGAAATCGTGCTCACTTTTACAAAGTTTACGGAATTCATTAAAGTTTGTGCAAGTTTGTGCGCACAGTCCTAGTTATTGTGCATAGCCGCAAAAACGTGGAACGTGTGGGTCTTACTTCACATACAAAGAAATCTCGTAAAATCAGTGATCGAATGAAAATCTGATTGAAAATGGAATGAAATAAAAAATGTAAAAGAAAATCTTCTGTGCAATTTTCGGTAGATGTAAAAGTGTAAAATTTATCAGCTCAAAGACTATTTCTGACAAAGAAATCGTAAAAAATAAACAGTTAGAGCTTTGTGCACGAGATTCGTCATTGAAAGTATCGCTCGAGAACAAAGAAATCATTTTGCAAAAAAAAAGATGTTGATGCTGGAATTCATGTTAATATTAAAAAGACCGGAGGAATTAATAATCAAGATAATATCAACATTTTATGTGTGCTAATTCACCAAGAACTCATTATCTTATTGACATTTTAGAGTTGTGCAACTAAAGAATTAGCGGTAAATAGTTCTAGTAGTGTACATCGAACCCATACGGAGAAAAAATTTAAACTGTAAGTTTGAGTTTTGAATTTTACAATTTAAACTGTAGTAGTACAAAGATTAAGATGTTTTCAACAATTTTCAATAAATGTCGAAAGAATTTTCGATAAACACAACCGTAAAAATTTCAGAACCTATAAAATTTAGTAGCGCATGTTACAAAAATCTGACGAGTTTAGACGCAAAATTAATGTAAAAACTTTAGTAAATTTTACAGTTCTTGCCGATAATTTTTCGGATTCTCGATGGTGACTGAAAGCTTTGATTTTAAAATGAAAATTAACCCATAAACAATTTAGTTAAAGTTCCGTGAGTCGAGGTTTTTTTCTTAAAATTTAATTCTGAAAAAAAATTTGTATGCCAATTTACATTATCTATCATATTTATTAAGATTTCGATGTAATCTCAAATTTTTAGGTTCAATATGTATGAATACAGTTCGTAACGCCAGGCATTTGTGATGCGTGGTATATGCGTAGACGTTCGGGCGTATGCGCCAACGCACAGCCACTATACTGTCAACCTATAAGTATACGTAAATATGATGATATAATTCTTTGTGTTGTGCAGACCACATGCGTTACGAATCGTGTTCATTTCAAGCGTATTGTTTCAATAGTGATTGTTCGAATCAATTTGTTTTTCTACAACGATTGTAAGTATACATTTTCAACATTTTTTATTTTTTTTAACGAAAATATTAACGTTTGTATGGTGTCGAAGAATTGAAACTAATTGTATTACGTAGCAGAGTGTTCAATTTACACGAGTATTAACCTGATGTTTTGACGACATCTCGATTACTTGTTTATTTTATTCTTTAGCCTGTCTGAATTTATTCCTCATGAATTGAATATTTAATTCCCATATGATAAATTGACCGATTCATTATAAATTGATATCCAATTCTAATCCTGATGTTTAGTGAATTTTTCTTCTACGTAATGATACTGTCATTTTTGTGTAAATTGGTTCGCTTTCTGATATCATTGATTTCGTTTTTGAACTCCGTTCATTTGAATGATCATACGGACTGTTTTAAAATTTTAGATGATACTTATGAATGGGAAGTAATATTTTTAAATACTTTCACTAATTTGATAATAACTAAATAACATTGGCTCGAAAAGTAATTAAGCTGTTCGTTAAATCTAACATAAAACTTTCTTTAAAATATTTTTATTTTGATAGACTTTATAAAAATGGAATCGTGTTTGACTCAAAAAAAAATATTTCTTATGTTGTTGAATGTAATTCTTATCAAAAAAATTGGTATTATTGAGATATTTGTTAAACTGTCAAAGTGCGACTGTTCTGATTATTGTGAAACTTGTATTATAAACTTGGATTATTTGGTTCTAGTCCGTCATTGTAACATTATCAGTTCTATTATTTCTAATAAGCCATTAAATTTAATCAATTTATGTGAATGGTCAAACAAAATTATTGTAATTAATATTTATGATTTACGTGAAGTTTGTTTTTATGTGGATTGTTACACAGATAATAATTTATTTTACGTTACTAAACCCATAAACAAAATTGAGTTTGTGCAGCTCGAATTTTTTAAATGGTATAATATATAAGCGCAATGAACATTATCTCGCTATAAAGATAAGAGTGTGTGATTATTGTCAAGCTATTTATATGATCTTCTGGAGATTACCGGAAATACTTTTAAGTAAATGATTTGAACTCACTTGATACTATGGCAAACCATTTACGATAATAAATAAAAACAACGCATGTCGTGGTTTGAAGTAATAATTATCACACTCCCACTCAGATTACCAGGCTCAGGATGGATGGAGGCTTCCAGGCTGGAACGAGATGCTCTCGCGAGGCCAATGATGAAGACGATTGTCAATGACTCCTCAACACTAGTAGGCTGATGTCCCATGTGGCGGTTAGGCAGTTTCAAAAATTGGCAGCTCTGTGACGATCTTCCAGACAATTACTAGGAAGAGTTAATAAAAAAAACTTGGTTAGCTCCAAGAAATAATTATGACTTCTCCAACGTGGAGTTTTACGTTTATATTACTCTAAAAATAATGACCACGCCAGTATGCGTCTGCCTCAGTCGGCGTCCGGAAGTAGAGAGAGCGAGTAAGGTATCAGTACACCGTGAGGTATCGTCAAGCGACACCTACTATCAATCACAATTTGGACCTCCCCTAACGCGCCCTGAGTCCTAGCGCGGGATCATTCAATAAATTACTTAGGGCACAGTAGCCCGGTGCACTACAAGACCAATTCATCATAATTCATTTCCAGCTGAGTTAAAGAAATCATCTATTGGTGACGATCAATTGTTATCTATCTATCTATATTTACTATATAAAATTCTGGTGTTTGTCTGTCTGTATGTTCGGGATAATTTTCGGAACGGCCAATCCGATTGAGACCAAATTCTGCAGACATCTAAAGGGCATTATAAGGAAGGTTATAGACTACTTTTTTTTCGTGCAAATTGTTCATGACAATTGAATTTTTCATAAATAACAGAAAACGGAATCTATTCAATATATTTGAACTCTTCCAATGCGTGATTTCTTGTTTTGTTAAAATTAAGTTACAAACCATGTAAAATGTGTGGAAACCTACTTTTTTTGTTTATAACAACTAAATTTGTTGTAAGAAAGCAGGAATGAGTCTTCCGATAGAATTCAAAGTATTTCCTTTTATCTTCAATACTCGCGTATACATATTTTTTTTTTATCAACTTATTTACGTAGTAATTGCTTTCTGGAATTGTATTACTCGCAAATGAAGTCGCGGAAATCTGCTAGATTTTTTTACGTTGATTCGTATTCAAATTTGAAAATTGAGAAATCTAGCATTATAACAAGAGAATGAATTTCATTATTTTTATAATTGACTATTTTTTTGTTGTTTATTTAAAATATCATTATTATTTTTCTAATTTCAGGGAGCAACTATGCCAGCAGCACATATGTTTGCAATGACTTGGTTTAAGAGCAATCACAGAAGCTGGTACTTCAGTTGTTATGCAGGTAAAAATCAGAATAATGCTAACACAACAATTAAATCAATGAAAGAACAAAATTTCGAATTCATAAAAACGATTTTTTACGTAATGTAAAGAATTGTTTCCTTGGCGTTTACTACATTAAATATTAACGTTGGAATTCAGTAAAGATCAAAAGATTAAAAAGTATTCTTGAATCGAAAGATGCAGATCGTTTTTAGTCTAATGTGAAAAATCTATTTTAAGTTCTTTGACTGAAGACACCATGATCTGTTTTTCGTAGAAATAGTCAACAATCATATTCTCATTTGTATCTGATTTTTTATAGACAAAAGCAGTCTCAAAATTCTTATAGATAATACAAAGGAGGTGATCTTTCTGAGCGCGAATCACAGTCTAAGTTGCTTGACTTTATTATTGCTTGACTACTAATGTAACCACTATGTTTTTCATTACTTATAGATGATACTTTTATGACACTTTATAAATTAGTTCTTTTATAATAAAAAAAAAATTGCTGAATTTACCTTTTTCAGTAATTAAATATACTGCTTTGCAACAATAACCCCGATTTTTATTTTTTCTGAGAATAGGTTTATAACAAAAAAAAAATTGTTGGTGTGACCATTGCAAATCTATATCCGATTAGGCAGTACAAAGAATAAATAAGTACAAACAGTAGAAGAAATCCAGTTTTTATTATCTAAAGGCTAGTTTTGGTCAAAGTAACATGATTACGCAACATGTAAACTTGTTGAATACTAATACCATTATTTGTTCTTGAAGTACACGTGAAAAAACTCAATTACAAATTTACATGCATACATTAACTGACCAAGTAGTCATAACGTAAGGGAACGATGAATCTACCTTTAGTTTCATTGTCATTAATGAAAAAAAATCATTGAAATAAATTACATTTTTATCAAGTTGGTGGTCAGAGTTTTTGATTGTTATAAAGTTCCCATACTAACGGATTATAAAATTGGTAACAAGTTAATCCTGCTCGAGCTTAAGTATACAAATAATTCGAGGATTTTCTGAACAGATTTTTTTTTTAAATATTCCTTTTTAGTTGATATGTACCAAACATCGTGAAATCTTATCTAAAATAGCTCCTCCTCCGCACCATTCTAGGCTGCACAAAAATGTGCATCGAGCATCGACAATGATGAAATTAGAAAAAGTCGTAAAACCATTAAACGTCAATTATTCAAATCTAAGAATCAACAATATATAGATTATTTTCTTCGGTTCTTTTTTGAAAAAAAATTTTAGTACGTTTAATGATACAATCAACATAACAACCAAAAACTTGGCATGACTATTATTTATGAATTGGCTTGCATATTTTCTAAATTCCATGCTTCTATCAAATCTTAGCAGTCACACCAAGTTTTCAGTTATTATGTTTTTTATGTCATTAAACGTATTAAACTTTTTATCAGAAACAATATGACCTAAAATGACAACCTCTTTTTGGTAAAATATTGTTCTGACTTGAAGGGCCCTAAGTCGGTTGGTCTGAAAATATTTAAAACTAGTTACTGTGTGATTCGTCTACCGGCACTTCACTCAACTTACCGAACCAATCATTGAAAAATAATTCCCTCATGGCTCAGCAGAGAACTTTACGGCCTTAGTGGCGCCAATAAGCACGCGGTCGAACATTGAGGGGGTTAACTTTCATTTTCAACAATTGCGTGTTACACAATTTTTAGAATAAAAGAAAACAATATTTCTATTTTAAGCACACGATTTATACACATATGAAATAATAACTATTAGCCAAAAATGTAATAAATACAAAAGGTAAAAATATCTATACACTATGGTATTGAAGATGGATGCAAAAAAAATTGTTACAATTTTTTGAATGATTGAAATATGTCACATTGGTTTGAAATGCTAGCATTAAATAATCCGTATATTACAATTACAAAAATGATTTTTTTCAAAAGTAGTTTATCAGTGACTATCCCTTGTAAAACAAACCGATAGAATCAGACAAAGAACGATAGGATTTCTATCTAGTTGTACATACCTTTATCGTACACTATCATACATATGAAATAAAATATATTCCCGAATAGAGATTCAAATCGTAATCTATCGTAATCAATATTTGGACAATATAAGTTTATCGTAATGAATTCGGCAAACATAGAGGGCAGTGAGCAACGATAAACACAAATATTTATTTCGTATTCCATCGTAATCCATTAACAACAATAAATATACTAGAGAATTTCTGATCGTATCCTGTCGTAATCAATCGTAAATATATTATTTACCGGAGAAGAGCCTGTCATATGTGTTCTGTTCATTTCAGAATATTCTGTCGTATCCTATCGTAACAAATTGTACATATGTATTATTTACATATGATCCAATTCAACCGTACATGTTCCATTTATTTCCGCATGAACTAATTGTAAATAATAACTAGGGCCAGGAATTTTTTGCGCTAAAAAAAAAAAGATCATCAGATAATTTTTATTTTAATCAATAATAGTTTCATAAAAAAATTATCTTATCTGAAGATGAATAGGTTCAAACGATAAAATGACAGTTCAGTACATGAAACGACGAAATTGGGGTATATAAACAAATAGAATGTTGATATATTGTAAAATATTTGTATGTCGCCATCTAATGACTTTTAGACTAACGACAGTTTGTTAGTTAACAACGATTGCTTGACGATTAGATTGTTTATAGCAACGAGGGGAGAGTTTGTTTATCTCCAGTTTTTGTCTGAGACTTGAGTTGACCGCACGGATTCTTACTTTTAATTAATTGCTGTCAATCATTAATAAACATTTTAATTAATTTACTAATTTTCCGAAGTTGTTATTGAGTCTTATTTTACAATATATATATCTATATACCCAAATAAAGAATGTATGAAAGTTACGTTTCAGTAAATGAACAATTAAAAATATTAATTGCGTCGTAAACACTAAAAACTTAAATTAATTCAAATAAAAAGAAAATTGAATAAATTAAAATACAACTAAATAAATTTCCAATAAAGAAAAAAGCAAAAAAAAAAATTCGATTATCTTACTGTCATTAAAATTATACATAGCCGAAATAGGATGTAACAATGAATCTGCATCTAGTACATTCTACGGTAGTTTCCCTAGTACTTCTACCGTACGATTTGAACAAGGCGATTTTGATAGAAAAAAAATTTAATTGAAAAAAAAAACTTAATTTGTAGAAGTTATTGGAAACAATTTTTACCAGTGCCAAATAAAAATGCGTAGCAAATATCAACATATTTGCAACGAAAAATAAGTTGCAAATATTGGTCAGAACCTATTAGACTTCTTTTCATACATAATTTAACTCAGCAAGCATAAACAATGATGATTCCAAATGTTTTACTGACTTCTGTGTTACGTTTTTAGGTGTCAATAATAAGGATATACTTAGTTTACTTCTAATCCCTAGTATCCATTAGGAAACAGACGGCCGTCAGACTTACGTTCGTTACATATGTTAACGGACAGAAAGTTGCAACGAAAAATGTGTAGCAAGTATTGTTTAAATAAGTTGACAATTTTTAACATGATTTTTTTATGATAATTTTCATTTATTTTTAATCAAACATAATATTAAAATTAACGTGGGTTTCTTAGATTGTTACACATTTGTGTAATGCACCTGTTGATTGCGGTTTTCGTTATTCGAAATTCTGGTTTTGTATGGATGTAAACGAATTCTGAAATTTTAAGCGCTGAGTTAGAAATAGAACTGAATTATTAGTGTTAGAGATAGCTATAGGGAACTTTACTATGAACTGCTTTTAGCGTTTCAGGGGAAATCGATTTTTTTCCACTCCTTGCAGCATAATGATCGGCGAGTCATCTCTTAAGGATTTTCGTCACACTCATTTTTCATATTAGGAACATCAATTCCTTGCAGAAATATGGCACTAGAGGGTGTAACTTCGGTCATTTCATCTTCATTATCAGTATTATCATTGCCATTATTTTCATTGTTATTATCATTATTATCATCTTCATTATCATTATTGTCATAATCATTTTCATTTTTCATCTCGATTATCATGAACATCATCATCATTATCATTATTTTCATCTTGATTATCATTATCATCCTTTTCACCTTCTTCATCTAATATGATAATTCCATTATCATTGACATACATTTTTTCTAGTTTGTTTTTCAATTCTAATTAAGTAATAAAAATAATTGTACTAGTAACACATTTAAGTCGAAGTTTTGAAGTTTAGAATAGAAAGTACTTGAAAAAAATATAATTAGAGATTATTGTTCAAGTTCAGATTCGTTCACGTAGAAAAATTACTTCGAACCTCCCTAAATTTGTAGAGTAAAAAATTAGTAACTAGCCCAACTTATGACCACAAACTAATGTATAATTGGTATGGTAATCACAATTAAAAATACCTGGGTTATGCCAATATGGTCATTCACTAGATGTCTTACCCTACTAAATAAGCCATGTTATTCTATTAGACTAAAAATAAATTTCACTTTAAATGGAAGACTTATTGATTTTTAGAAATTATTAATAAGAAAAATACCAAAAAAAGATACATACTGCTTTTTGCCAAAATCGTACCGACACAAATACGCCATCCCTACTTAATAAAAGCTTTGTTACGCTTTACACGAATGATTTTTTGAGTATTTAAAATACTTATGGTATAATCTTTCCACAAAATCAAAACAAACATTCTTATGAATTTGTGGTTCTGAATTCTGTCAATAAATTGTAAAAAAAATCGAACAATGAAAAACATTGTAATTAATATTAAAAGCGACAATAAATTTGTGATCACTTAAAATAAATTTTTGTGTATTTAAATTGACTGAAATCCTGGAATTTATCCACGGCATAACAAAATTAGTGGCAGCGGTAGTATCTCAAATCAGTTCGAAATTTGAATGCTTGGATTGATAAAGGATAAAATGATAATAACAACACTTCTGTAAGTACAATTACTTATATATGGAAACACATATGACGGATAACGCATTTCCGGAATACAGAGAAAATAATAATAACGATTATTTTAATACGGACGATCCTAACGAGTCTACGGAAGATTTGAACGAATATCGAAAAATTCAAGTAACAGAAAACACGATGGAAGCTCGAATTACAGATCTCGTAAATTCAGTACAAGCATTACAGAATCAATTAATTACATTACATGCAATAATAGAAAATATAAATGCACCGGCTAGCAATCACACGTCAAATCACGATACAGTCGATCACGCATCTACAACGCAAAACAGCGTCGCGACGGCAACTGATATAAAAAATCTTAAACAACAACTCGAATTAATTACGGAATTCGAAGGCAATAACATAGCAGTTGAAACATTTATTTTCGAAATAAAATCTATTATTGATGATTTG